CAGGGTTACAAACAGAAATCAGAAAACTGCCCTGGTGAAATTCTTGATCACCTACATGGCAAGATGAATGGGAAAGTGACATCATTTTATTTATTTCCCAGGTATTAAAAACAAAAATCTTTTGATGCTCTTTCTTTTTTGTTCTCCCACTTTCTCTTGGGAAAGTGTGTGAGGGGCAGCTGGTCAGGTCGTCAAATATTCAAGAAGTTAATGCAGGTTTTTGTTTTGTTTTTTTTTTGGCTCAGTTATATTTTGTGTTCTTCTGTGACTGATGGTGTTCTAGACGTCATGTAACAGCAACATACCTGTACAGTTAGGCTTCTGTTTGTATGTGAAAACAAGATACTATTGCAATGATAATTGTTTTCTAATTATCATACTAGATGTTAGGTACTACACAAAAAAGTCAGCAAAGAGATAGGAAACATTGGAACATGCATGGGGAAGAAATGAGGAAAAGAACATAAGGAGATTACTTGATATTCAAAAATGTAATGAGATTTTAAAAAGTCTAATTTTAAGAGGGTGGGATTCTTTTGGTCACTTACATATATATCTGGTTACATTCTGCCAGATTCCCCTCTTCAGTATCTTGGAACTCTATCCTTTGGAGCCTAGACCCCGGGATGATGTCGGAGCACAGCATTGTTTGGGAAACCGTAGGCGTACCCACAGATGCAGCCTACCTCTATGAAGAACTCACTTTTTAAATCATATTCATGTGAAACCATTATTAGGTCAGCCAGAAGATTGTGCAAGCTTTTGGGATAAACCAGGTCATCTTTCTACTGTCAATATGGCTATGTGGAATGAGAAGTAGTTTTGCCACTTTTTAATGAATAGCTCTTCCTTTAGCTTAGACCAACATTTAGAAAGAAACCGTTTGAACAACTTAAACAAGTGCAGGGACTTGTCAAGCTCCACAGTACTACACAGCTGTGCATTAGAAATGCTATCCCTTCCTCCGTCAATATATTTTAGGAGTTTGCCACTGTCAGCACAGTTAAGCACAGCTTAATCCTGTCTCATAATTCCTAGTCATGAAGATGAAAGAGTACCAAAGCCAAGAGAAATCCAGAAAATACCAAATTCATCTTAGCTAATTATTTGTTCAGTCATAATTTATTCCATTTAGGACTGAGGGAGTCCTGTACTGCACTTTTTTTAAAGAGTCAAACCATAATTATGAATTAGTAACCTAATCAGGTTTTGGATCAGGATTAACATTAGATTTTCAGAACCGATTTCCTTCCTTGCATTCTGCAGGTCAAGTGAAAATTTACACACACCCCTGCAGACTTGGTAGATTTAGATCTTTTCTTCTTAAATTACATGCATAGTTTCATGTATAAGAATTAAGGAAGCTTAATTAAAGGTGTAATGGTATAATGAAAAGTGTTTCTCTGTACTCTTCTGTTCATTGAAGCATATCCAATTAGTAAAGCTGGATAGTTCTTCACCCAAATAAAAATTTGTAGTTTAGTTAAATATGTAATAATTATAGATATATTTGCATAAGATGAAAACACATACATCATCTTAGAAGAGGTATTTTATTTGCTCCCCTGTGAATGAAAGGGTAATACCTATTCTAAGATGGTGCCTGATCCCCAAGTATTTATATTAAAATAATTCACTTTAAAAAATATTACCCCACTAGAGAAATGTTTTTAGTTTTTGAGCAAGACACAGAGAAGGATAGTCCTTGTTAATTTCAAGATTGTGCTTTTAAAAGTTACAACTCCATGTGCAGTTACTTGGCTGTAGGTTCCAGATGAACTTAGTGGAACTTGCTATTGAATATGATTAAGATCATTATTAAATATTTATTATTTATTTAGAATATTTATATGCAGTCCTTTCGCAGAGCCTCAGGACAGCTTACATAAATAAATAAAAATAGTAAGAAAAACATAATACAAATAAATTCCAGATCCACCCTGGCTGCAGATTAAAACATAAATAGCTAATATTAAAAGTTATTAAAATATTGTTGAAATAAAAAGGTCTTAGCCTGGTGCCGAAAAGCAAATAACGACGGCGCCAGGCGGGCCTCTGTGGGGAGCGCATTTCATAGGCGGGGCGCCACCACAGAGAAAGCCCTCCTCCGGATACTTTGCCTCCTAATATCTTTCATGGAGGGTTCCCGGAGAAGAGCCTCTGCTGCTGATCTCAGGGGGCAGGAGGGCAAATAGGGAAGAAGGCATTCCTTTAGGTATCCAGGCCCCAAGCCATTAAGGGCTTTATAGGTAATAACCAGCACCTTGAATTGAGCCCAGACTTTGATAGGAAGCCAGTGAAGCTGGTAGAGGACTGGGGTTATATGAGAATGTAACAACCTGGCACCATTTTGCACCATCTGAAGTATCCAGACTGTCTTCAAGGGCAGCCCCATGTAGAGTGCATTACAGAAATCCAACCGGGAAGTAACCAATGCATGTGTCACTGTCGCTAGGCAATCGTCCTCCAGGTAGGGATGCAGCTGATGGATTAACCAAAGCTGAAGGAAAGCTCTCCTCGCCACCACAGTCACCTTAGCTTCCAGGGACAGCTCTGGGTGGAG